CCTCCCCAGTGTGGTTCCTACCTACATCCTCCTACCCCACTTCTCCCCTGAAGGGCCTGGGTTCTCCTGGACTTGGTCTGTGTGATGCTGTGCTCCAGGCCAGGGATGGCAGGGCGTCAGGAGACCAGGGAGGTGGGGCCGGACATCTGCCCTGGGTAACAGCTATGCTGCTACAAGTAGCAACTCCCGCGTTGCTCCCGGGTGTAGACTGGTGCCCTGTGCTACGTATTCATTGGCTCATTTAATTCTCATGGGTGGGAACCATTGCTGTCCCCTCTGTATTGGAGGACATCGAGGCTGGGGAAGGTTACCAGTTTGCCTGCAGTCACATGGCATGCGTGCTCACCCGCGAGGCGCCTTTTATGTAGTGGTGGTTCACACCTCATCTGATGCTGCCTGTGTCCCCTCTAGCACCGTGCTCTGTACCACCTGATTTCACAGGCAGGAGTGGGCAGGGAGGGGTGGTTGTTATTCTCCTTGTATAGACAAGGAAACCACAGCCAGGGTGGTGCTGTGATGTGCCTGGGGACACCCAGCCACTGCTGCAGGGTCGAGACTCAGCTAAGACCTCCTCAAGGTTCTGACATCTTCTCCAGGAGAGGTGGCACCTGTTGTGAGGCAGGAGGCATGGAGGACGCCAGGCATGGAGGTGGAGCGCCAATGGTGGCTCATTTTGTGATGGTGTGAGGAGGGGTGTGAGTCATGCATTGCTGGGGATGGCGGCTAGGCAGGGACTTAGGATGATGTGACATATGTACACTGGGGGTTGTGGGGCCAGGCATGGTGTTGATGCAAAGCTGAGTGGAAGGCCTGGCCTTACTTCCTCCCTGACCAGCAGCTCACTCCTGCGCAGGACCCTTGGCCCTCAAGGCTCCGCTTGGGAATTGGCCCAGGTGCCTTCTGTGGGGCTCCTCACCCCAACTGAAGGAGACTGGATCACATACTTCTTCTGTCTCTTTAAGGCAACTTTCTGTCTGAGAGGAGCTCACTGGCATATGCCAAGCTGTACACTGGCCTCTCCCATGAGAAAAGGGCGTGTTGGAACCATTGCTGTGCTGCTCCTCCAAGCAAGCCTGCTGGCCTGGCCCGGCACTGCCTAGAGCCTGTACCAGCCCCTGGAATGCTTGGTCTCCAGCAAGGGGAAATCCTACCCAGTGTATGGGGCTCTGGTGAAGATCAGACTGAATAAGATAATGTGATGCAAATGAAAGATGGTGAGGGCTGTCCAGGTGTGATCTTTCAGAATCCAGAGGATGCTGTGCAGGGGTGCAGGGGAGAGAAGCTTCCAGAGAAAGCAGGCTGCTCTGTGCCTTTTTCTCCTAGTGGGGACTCCTTAGCTAATGGAGGTTGAGATTTCAATCATTTTACTCTTCCAGGAAGGTCTTTGTGGTAGGACTGCATGGTTAACTTTTAGTGACGTAACTGTGCTTTATCCCTGATTCTAAACGCTGTGGGCCTAAAGAAGGAAGGCTTCTTAAGATTCTGTTTAGAGTGTTTGTGTGATTTTCCTCCTCTTGGGGGGTCCATACTGCTCCCTTACACTCAAGCTCAGCTGATGGTGTTACAGAGGGGCCTTCATTCCTTGGGGTGGTCCCACAGGGGCTTCACTGGCCAGTGAATCATTGCTCCGTGATCCTGTGGTTGGAATGGGGGAGCAGCTGGAGAGTTTGGGGCAGGGAACTTGGGGGACGAGTTGGTCCAAACCTACTGGTGGCAGGGGCAGAACTCAGCGTTCATGGAAGCAGCTCCCTCTGAGTAATTTTCTATGGGTAGCTTCCTTCCTTCTGGACATCTCTGTGGATCCCCTGGCCCCTCCTCGGCCAGTACTGGAGCCTCCAGTTTGGAGTGCTGTGAGGCCCTGGCTCCTGGACCTTCTGGTCCCTTGTCATGCAGCCTCTCCAACAAACCCCCGACTTCCTGCCCGGGCCTTCGCTTTTGCCTCCTTTTCCAGGAAGGGACACTTCTGGGCCTTCCTTTCTTCACACCTGCCTCCAGGTCAGGACCAGAGGTGGGCAGTGGCTGCTGCTCTCAGACTCATCCCTGCTTCAAGCCCCAGCTGCCTTTGTTCCTTCAGTCCAGACCTCCCTTACAGCACGTATGCAGGGATACAGGCCCAGGTGAGGCCTGGGATGGGAACTGGCCATGTGTGTCTTCAGTCACAGTGATGATGTGGGGGCCTGACTCTTTTCCTCCACAGGCCCCAGCCTCCTGGGGAGCTCATAGGTGGTGCATCAACAGTTATGGGGTTCTAAAGCTATCCAGAGACTTCCTATCAGTTGACTGTATCAAAATATGGTGAATTATCTTCATAACTGGATCAGTAATAGGCGAGGGACTGCTGATGCTGGCCTTGCGGGAGCTAGGATGGTGGACTTCAGGTGCTGTCCCAGTCCTGCCTGGTTTGCGTTCGTATCAGGGTGAATGTGGATGTGGATTTTGAGAACATATGTTCATTAGGATTTGTAGTTGGAAGATAGATCATATCTCAACAGACTGGATCAATGCACCACACTGAATAATGAGGAATTAAAAAGGACAAGAGCCAGTTCCAGGCCTCCAAATCCTACAGTGTGCATGCAGAATGAGGTGTACTGAGTTTAATTGAAGACCATGAAAAAGATCCAGGGCTTCTAGGCCATGCAAAGTCAGTCTGAAAGCAGGGATGTGATGTGGCCACAAAAAGGCTAATGCCATCAGGTTGCATTAACAGAGGAATAAATTACAGAACAGAGGAGGTGAGTGTACTTTTATTCTCTGTGCCAGCTGATCTGGCATGACCTTGAACATGGCATTCAGTTTTGACAGTCACATTTTAGTATGGACATTTACAACCTTTAATGTCAGTGCAGGGTAATCATGATGACAAGACAATTTAGTGCCTGTTTATATAAATAATGGTTGGAGAGAGTTAGTTTGAAGAAGATTTGCTACATTCACAATAGCTGACAATACTTAAATGGGTTCCTTTGAGAAGAGTGATTTGACCTATCCCATGTGCCTCCAAAGCAGTGCTGTATAATAGAATTTTCTGTGATGATGGGAATGTTTCATATCTGTGCTCTTTAGTAGCTACTAGACAGATGTGGTTTTGAGCAATTAAAATGTGGGAACTAAATTTTAATTTAATTTTAACTAATTAAAATTCAAATTTAAGTAGCCAAATATGGCTACCTTATTGGTGAAGTGAGGTTCTAACAGGAAAATAAAGGATTAGACAAGGGGTTGGCAAATATTTTCTGTCAAGGGCAAAACAGTAACTGTTTTGGGCTTTGCAGGCCATATGGTTGCTACTGAGCTCTGCCATTGTGGTGTGAAAGTATACATAGTCTATAAAAGAGTGAATGTGTCTGTGTCTCAATAAAACTTTATTTATGGGAACTGAAATTTGGGTATAAATTTTACATGTCATAAAATATTCTTTTTTTTTTTAGTTTTTCCAACTATTTTAGAGGTGTAAAAACCATTCTTAGTTTACAGGTTGTGCTAAAATGGGTGGCAGGCTGGCAGTGCAAAGAAACTGTGGGCTGCAGTTTGCTGGCCCTGGCTGAGCGTGTGGGTGGAAGCTTCTGGGAGTCATGTGCAAGTTCAGTAAAGAAGGCAGTGGTTGGTTAGAATAGCCAGGAACAGAACGAGCATCCTCAGTAAATGGTGAGTTTTTATCACTAAAGGTTTCATGCACAGGCTCAATAGTTAACTATCTGGTAAGGGATGGTACAGAGATGTGTCTATTTAATACATGTTGTATTAGAATTTTCCCTGGATTGCAATACTCTTTAAAAATCAGACCTGCTTCATAGGGAAGTGGGTTGCTTTTCTTCACCTGGTGCTGACTCCCAGCCCCTAGGATGGGCCCCGAGGTTGCTGTGCCGCTTCATCTTTCAGCAGCTCTGCCAAGTGTTCAGGGTCGCTGGTATGCGCCCTGCTGCTCTCGTCCACCTCTGTGCAGCCCATGACAAAGGTTCTGAGAGGGACACCCTATGAGGACACTCTGCTGGCCAGATGCCACTTTGCCTGTCACTGAGTGCCCCTTCTGGGGACAGGCGGCCAGGGGCAGGAAGCCTCACCTCTGCTCCATGCAGATGCGCCGTGCCTCATGCCGTGACCACACAGGCCACCCCTGCATTCTCCCCTCAGGCAAACAGGAAAACACTTGCTGTCTTGGGCGCTCTCAGCCCCTGCCCAGAATGAACCTGAGGCCCCCCTTGAAGCCGGCGAGCCCTGACTGTCCAGGAGTGGATTAGTTCTATCCTGTCAGCCCTGCTCTCTTGTCTTTCTCTTCTCCCTTTTGCCTCACTTAAGCCCATTTTACTTCAGTGTGCTTCTTGCTGAGATGAGCAAAAATACAAAGCAGAGAGCCTCCTTCTGTGAGGGGCAAAGCTGAAGTGCTGGTTTGGAATAGTAAATGTTTTGTACATTAATCCAAAACCCAGCCCGCCCTCACCAGTCCCCAGGTATAGTTTTCTCTACATCTTTGTAGAGCACAGGAAGCTTAAAAACCTTTATTTTGGGGATTTTAAAAATTGAGATCATTTGGCCTAGGACTCTGTGTCAGCCTGGGGGCATGACTTACTGATGGGATCCACTCAGCCAACACCTCTGTCTTGTCACGTAACTGTCCTTTCTTCTAGTGCTGGAAACAGCCAAGCTCAATGCTGGCAATGCATTTTGCTGTCTGTACTCACTGTCCTGTGCATCAGGTCCCTGGGGCTTGTATATCTGCGGGTCATGTAAGGAACACATGTGCCCAGCTCCAGCTGCAGGTGTGTGCCCTTAATGAATCTCCCTCCTCCCCTGTTGTGAGGATTTCTAAGCATACCCAGAAGTAGACCGAGGAGTATGCTCCACCCAAGCTGCCCATCAGCCAGCCTGGACAGCAGGCAGCTCCCACCAGCCTCTTCCCACCTCCTGGATGGCTCTGAAGAGCGACTGCAGGAGGCTTTAGGCAGGGCCCTTGGACTCACCTGTGTGCTAACATCTTGATTCCATGTGTTCCATTTCAGATAATTGCCTTTGATGAATTAAGGACGGATTTCAAGAGCCCCATAGACGAGTGCAACCCTGTACATGCGGTAAGTGGTGCGTGCTGGTGTCCAGAGGGCAGTGTCACACTGGGCAGGGGTGAGGTGGGGGGCGGGGTTTCTGTGAGCAGGGCACGTAAGGAACACACGTGGCCTGACTGCCGCCATGCCCGGCTCCAGGCTGCCAGGACATTTCCTGTTCTTGAGGCCTGCTGAGGCCTCAGTTGTCTTGCAGGAGAGGCACATGGTAGCTAATGTGGGCCCAGGTATGGGGGTGTCACAAGCAACCATCCAGTCTACTCTTTGCTGGGTTGCTCAGAGGGAGGCTTGCAGTATGAGCTGATGTACTGGTGCCCAGCTGCACGTCCATCTCCTGGGAGGCACTGACCCTGTGGGTCTGTGGTCAGCTTGCCTCCCATGGGAAAGCCAACGCCATCTGGCTGCCTGGCTGGGCTCAGCGAGTCAGTGAAACACCCTTGCCATCACAGCTGCTTGCAGTCTTACTGTCCTGTCTTCCGTGTCAGGCCAGCATACTGCGCCTTCCATCTGCACTGGGAGATATAGAAGGAGGCCAGGCTGCAGGTAGAGACCCTCACTTCTATTGAGCAGGTGTTGTTGGCCATGGTAGTGCCGTCTGTGTCCCAGAGCCAGGGGTCAAGCACGCATGTGGACAGAGCAGAGCCTCCCCTACTCATGGTAGACCAGCCCCGCAGTGCCAAGGATGGGGCACAGGCCGTGCACTGGAGTGTGCCTCCCCATCTGAGCTCACTGGGCTTGTGCTTAGTTGAACTTCCTTCCAGGTCCTGGTTTCCAGGCTAAGGTGAGCTTTCATTTGAATAGCTCAGTTGATATTTGCAGTCAGAAGCTGCAGAGAAAACATGACATTTACTGGTGTGCTGTGTGACGCCATCCTGACCCTAAGGCCCATGGCTCCATTCTTCAGTGACAGGAACAAGGAGGCCTGTTCTCCTTAGCTGACCCCTGAGGAGGGGCATGCTCTCTGGGGGTGCCAAAAGACCAGGGGGCCTGGCTTCAGCACCCCTCTGTCAAGTACAGGATTCTTTTGGGGGCTGTGAGGTTTTACTACCTGCTAGGAACTTTATGTGTGGACGCTGTAGTCCTCACAACTCTGCCAGACTGGCACCATTTACCCAGTTTAGTCTTATCCAAGGACTGACGGCTCATGAGTGCTGACATCAGGATTGGAACCCAGCTCTGCCTTTCTCCAAAGCCTGTGTTCTTACCACTTATGCCACATTATCTCTTTAAGAGGTTTGATTTTATAACGCTTGGTTTTATAATCCCTTTGGCATCAAATTCTTTGATTCTGTGAAGTAGAGCCAAACCCTTTCAAAGTCAACTGTGCGAAGCAGAATTTTGTTGCCAAGTCTAAAGAAACCCTATGACCCACTTGAAAACTTACTCTATCTTGTGAAACTTGTGGTTATTAAAGTCCGCTTTGTTCCCATCTGCCTGGCTCACCACCCACCTGAGACATGTTGGTTCTGCAGGCCTGAAAGGCTTGCACCCTGGGTCTCCTTTTTTCTGGTTGTTTCTGTGTGTGGCACTGATGTTGCACACCTGGCTCATGAGCACATGTAGGTGCTCCGAGTGGCTCTGGCCTTGTGAGCTCCCAGTTTGGAATACCAGGGAAAACAGGTGCCTGCTTTCCTTCCTCCTGGTTGATTGGGCTCAAATGAGGAAGCTGCTCACTTAGAACAGCGAGCTTTTTTGAATGATCACAGGGTGCCTAGTGAAGAACTGTGTCCTGTACCCTGTCTCCCTCCACCACTTCATGCTGGGTAGCAGGTAATGGTGAAACCTTGAGATAGACTCGTGGAGTCTGTCCCCATGTTACCAGGTCCTCGGTTCCAACAGAACAAGGAAAAGTTGGACTAGACCAGCACAAGGTCTATGGCTTCTACAGAGGTCAGCACAGGAACAGAACCTGGCATGGCAGGTGCTCGCTGACCGTGGTGAAAGGCGGAGGGAGACTGGAGGGGCATGTTGCGTTGCACAGAAGCCGACTCTCAACCCTTTGTCCCTGTTAGTTAAGGCCACCTCCTAATCAGTGAGCAGATTCATTAGGGAGACAGGGCCCTCATAGCCAGACAGCTCATGGACAAAGTCCCAGGGGAAGGTCTCTTGTCTGAGGTTAAAAGGTCCGTAAAACCCTAAATGGAAAGTATTAGGGACATTGCCCCAGTCCTCTGGTGTTGCTGACAGGATATTAAATGCTTTGATGCCTCATTTTACTCACCTTCTGGCTCCCAAGGCAGCATCTCAGGTGCAGGTGGCTTGGAAAAGCTGCTTCGCTGATTGGTAACTCCAGCCCCAGATGGACTTGAGTTACAAATAGTTGCTGATTGGTATGAAGCATTTCTAAATGAACGTGCATGGGGCCCACTGAGTCTTTGGATTTAAGACCCCCTGAAGCTCCAATTATTCTTGGGCCTCTGGGTGGACACCTTCTGGGAGGGGGAGGGGAGGGGTGCCCTGGAATCTCATGTTAATCCTTTCCCCTTCCTTCTACCCACTGGGTGCTCAGTATTCCTGCAAAACACTGAGTTTTGTTCTTCAGAGGGTCAGGCTGGCTGGGGAAGGAGCTGGCTGGTGTCTGTCACCACCTTCCTTCATGCCTGGTGTCCCGCACACTTTCCCATTCTCCATTGAGGCAGCTTTGATGCTCAGCTCTGTGTGTGTGTGTGCACACATATATGTTGAGGAGGATGTTGTCTGTCTTTCTAGCCCTGTGGACTCTAATTTGTCCAGATGTGTGCTCTTTATTCTAGGCTTAAAGGTGCGCAGGAATCACCATATGATTTAATTAGATAAACTCAAGTGTCCCAGCCACCAGTCTTCTCCAGATCTGTGCGGAATCTCATTGCCATCACATCTACAGCAATCAGGAGATGCCACGGTGGTGTTCTGAGTGGCCTCAGAAATCAGGAAGTTGCCACAGGAAAGGGAGGCAGCTTTCAGTGGGTGATGTGAGCACCCTCTCAGGCAGTGAGCAGACTTGGGGGGCAGACTTCCAGGTTTCAAGAGCTTAGCCTGGGGGCTGCTGGTGTCTAGTTTAGTGGGGAGACTGCTTCCTGTAAACACACTCACTTTGGGAAAATAAAATTGACGGGCAGAGGGCTTCCCTACCTCAGACACTAATCAGGACACATATACTCTTTGGCTCCATGTGGGAGGCCTTGAGGGAGGGCTGGTGCAAGTGTTAGGACACCCCTGAAACTGCAGGAACTGCAGGTAGACTGTCTTGCAGGTACGCAGTGGCTGAGGGGTACTTTGCCTGTGGAAGTACAGATACCCTGCTGGCTGAAAGGGAGGTTGAGCCCATACCGTGTGCCGGCAGAGTTCTGTTCACAGCAAATAAGTGTGACACGGTTAGATGGGAAGAAACCAGAAACCTGCTTTTTTTCTTTCAATTTTATTGAAATGTTATTGACATACAGCAGTGTTTTTAGTTTCAGGTGTATACTATATTGCAAGATGATCTCCACAATATGTTTGGTTAATTTCCATCACCTAATATAGATAGGAAAAAAGAAAAAGAAAAAAGTTTTTGCTCGTGATGAGACTTTTTAGCAACTTTCAACGCAACTTTCAGGTGTGTTAACTAGAGTCACCCTGTTGTACCTCATGTCCCCAGGACTGACTTATAACTGGAAGCTGGTACCTTCTGACCACCTTCATCCAATTTCCTCTCCCTGTACCCATGGTCTCACCACAATCTCTTTTTCTATGAGTTCATTTTTTCCCCAGATTCCATGTATAAATGAGATCATACAGTATTTGTCTTTGACTTATTTCACTGAGCATAATACCTTCAAGGTTCATCCACGTTGTCACAAAAGGCAGGACTTTGTTCTTTTTTATGGCAGAATACCATTCCATTGTGTATATATATACACCACATTTTCTTTATCCATTTTCTCACCAATGGAGACATAAGTAAATAATGAAAACAGTGTTGCAGATATCACTTTAACATGGTGATCATGTTTCCTTTGGGTAAATTCCCAGGAGTGGAATTCCTGGGTCATATGGTATTTCTATTTTTAGTTTCTTGAGGAACCTCCATACTGCTTCCCACAGTGGCTGTACCAATTTACATTCCCATCAACAGTGTAGGAGGGTTCCCTTTTCCCCACATCTTTGCCAACACTTGTTATTTCTTGCCTTTTGGATAGTGGCCATTCTAACTGGTGCAAGGTGATATCTCATTGTGGTTTTGATTTGCATTTTCCTGATGATTAGCAATGTGGACTATTTTTCCATGTGCCTGTTGTCCACCTGTATTTTTTCTTTAGAGAAATGCCTATTCAGGTCCTCTGCCTAGTTTTAAATTGTTTGTTTTTTTGCTATTGAATTATATGAGCAGAAACTCTCGTGAGAAAACGCCACTTGGCAGGCATGTGCAGGCCCTGTGGCTGGAGGGGTTTCTGGTGTTCTGCCTCCTCTGGGGGACTGAATGTGGGGGCTCCTCTCATCTTTCAGCAGAACAGCTAACCTCCCCCTCTTTCCTTCTTGTGAATCCTAACAGAGGGAACGGCTGAGGAACATTGAACGCATCTGCTTCCTTCTGCGAAAGGTCAGTTCAAGAGTCCCATTCTGGAGGGTGGGTAACCCGTGGTCATGAAAGGGCTGATTAGGCTCAGTGCCTGCTCTGTCCTGTCTCCCCAGGAGAGCAAATGGCAGTGGGGGAGAGGGAAGTGGAGCAAGTGGTCAGTTTTTTGGAAACTTATAGAGACAAGAGGAGAAAATTAAAAAGGGTGGCCATCAATCCAAGTGTCAGCACAGTCGTGGATATTTGCAAGTGCCCTCTAGTTGACTGAGAGGTTCTTTATCTTCTCATGATGATGAGTAGCGTTTACAGCTGATGCTGCCTCATAGACTGTAGTCCTGTCTGGTGCTGGACTCAGAGGGCCTTTAGCTGTATGTTGGGTTTCCTTTGAGGTTTCAGTCTCCATTCAGCTCTGCAGTTTGATCATTGGGCGTGTCAGAGGAGTGGGTGGGATGGGAGGTGTCATTAAAGGGGGAGCCAAGCCTTCAGAGATGCTCTGAATGGCATAGTGATTATTCAGCACATTCAGAAAGCATATGTGTGCACCATATTCATGTACACACATGCAGGTCAAGCTTGGTACTTAGCACAACTCTGTGATATAAGCTGGGGAAATCCTGTGGCAGAGAAGACTAGTCTGTCACTGTCCAGTCAGGAAAGCGCATGTTTTTTGCAGCAGAGTGTAGAGAAGAGCAACCTGCAAGTAAAATAGTAGCCCCCATAGCCTTGAGCCAGAGGGCATCCCTGATGTCTGTCCAGAGCAGATGGCTTACAGGCTGTGGGAAGGCCACCCATCAACACTTAAGGAATTCTTGCACCTTCTGGGACTAGGAGAGAAATGAAATGCCATGCCAACACTTATAAAAGGGAAACCATTTTGCAAGCTTTGGAAATATTTTCTAAATTTCAATAATGATACCTTTCACTGGGAGAGAGCTTAATCAAGATGTTAACTATTTTTCTAGCTAATGACTTGTCCTTCAGTGTTTTCCAAGAAACCCAGTTTGCTCAAGTTCTGCACCTTACATGTCACAGCAGGAAAGTAGCTCAGATAATGGAAAGGCTAGTAATGGGAGGAATAAAGAATGGTCCAGAAAAATAACATAATGTTTGGTATTAAGGGTTACTCAAGAATTTGTAAATGCTTTTCCCAGACATCTTGGACACCAGTAACCCACTCCAGCTGGCACTTGCATAGCCTCTGGTTTGTTCTTCCAGACTGACACCTAGGTGTCTTTCATTCTCCTGGTTGCCTTTTATCCACATCCAAATGTACTGTCCTGAATTCCCTGGCCAGTAATCCATTTCCATCACACTGGAGCCTTGTTTATCCTTCTGCATTGCTCGACCACTGACCCTGGCCAGCCAGTGCGCACTGGCCTGTGGCTGCCTCTGCCAGGGTCCTGCCTCACAACTCTGGACCTTCAGAGGTCACGCCAAGGACATGCAAGTGCAGGTTATGCAAAAATTAGCGTCCCATTTTCAAATTTGCATGTGGTTTGCATACATTTCTATCAACATAGGCCAAGGCATTTTACTCTAGGAAACATGCTTCAGGTGGTTTTCCTGGCTTTTGTCCTTGTCATTGACTCTGTCTTGCTGCCTCAATGGATGCAATGGCTGGTCATTGCTAGGGGAAATATCAGGGAGGGAAGTTCAAGGCAGACATTGGCGGACAGGCAACACTGGCATGGAGACTTCAGCATCTTGCCTGCACCTGATTGCTCGTTCTGCAGCCTTGGTCTTCTGTCCCCTGCCCAGGAGCTGCACTGGGGGGCCAGTGCCCCTTGACCAGCGTAAGTGGAAGCCATGTGCCTGCAGCTCTGTTCCTGCTTTGGTTCTCTTGCTGGAGCCCTGTCTTTGCTTTTGACACTTGGCTCTGTGAATTCTTCGCTGAGTCCATGTGCCCTGGACACCGAGGTTCTTTTCATCAGCATCAGTGTGGCTTCTTTCTGGATGTAATTCAAAATTGTTGGTGTTTCTGATTGGCCATTGAGATCTTGCAGTCATTCACATGTTTTCAGCCTAATTTGGTAACTCTTTGTTCTCAGACTCACTTAGGTCCTGGGCCTGTGGGTCTGTTTCCTCCTGCTAGAATGGACTAGAATGGAAGTGCAGTCAGGACGATGACTCTGTTCCGTTCACTGTCATGTCTGGTAATGCGGTAGGTGGGAGAGGGCAGAGTCTGTTGTGGGAGCTCAGCAGATATTATTAAGTGTGTTCGTGAAGAAGTGCTAACTTTCTGGTGCTTCTGTAACTACATCGTTGTTGGCCACGTGGATAATCAATGACCCTTTCATTCCTCCATTGCATAGTGGCCATGGTGTATCACAGAGCTTATCTGTTTCAGCACCTGCATCAGACCGTGTTTTAAAATCAAAGGTGACGCGGTAGTACATTCAGTATTGCTGCAGATGTCGCCAGCCTGTCTCACCTGCTCTGCCCTCTGCACTGTTTCCGTTTTATCCTCTCCAATATCCTCTCAGCTGATAAGGTTCCCTCCACTGGAGAGGTGGTGTAGAATGGTTGCATGCAGACTCTGCTGCTTCTAAATCCTGCCTGTGCTCCAATTGTCTGTGTAACTCCTAGTGTGACTCTGAAGCGGGGGCGGTAAGAACAGCATCCTCTTTGTAGAATTGCAATAATTAAATGAGATAATACATGTGCATCCTGCACATAAATGTGCAGCATATGCTCAGGGCTATCCTGACTCACACCTGCTGTGAAAACCCCTTATAAAGCTCTGAGCAGCACTGGCTGTTGAAGCAGCCCAGGGGACCTCTGGCTGGTGGTCCCTGCCTCATGCTGCCTCCCATTTTCTTAGGTTGGTGTCACCTGATGTTGGAGCAGAGGCACGAGGCAGGTGCCTGGGTCCCCATCCCTGTGGTCCCTCCTGGATGCCTGCTGAGCTCAGGGTCCCAGGCAGTGAGTGCGGGAAAGGGGTGGGGGTAACAGGTCTGCTTAGCATCACCATCTGGGACTGTACCTTCCAAGAAATTTCTTGGAACTTGTCTCCTAAACCCCCAGAATGCGATGCATCTCAGCAGCTGGTTGTTGTTGAACCTCCTCCTCAGCTTCCTTGGGAGAAAGGAAGGGGTTTTCAAAGTGCAGCCATTTTTAGCTCTAGAATTATCAGAAAACGTGTTCTTTGGGTAATTGAACTGCAGGATTCTTGTGCCAATTTGCATTTATGACTCACTTTTCACGGCAGGTGCCACTCGTTTTTCCGGCTGATCTGGCTGCAGCACGGGTCGGCTTCATGGTTGTGAAATGCAGGCTCAGAGTAGGAAGCATCCAGGAAGGCAGAGGGACGGCTGCTTTGGGGCATGTCAGTGGCCCTCATAGGGAGGACACTGGCAGGGCCCAGTGCATTTCCAGGCTCAGGAGGAAGCTGGAGGAAATGAACATGAGCAAGGGCCGAAGTCCAGCATAAGGATAAGGAGAAACATCCTTCATCAAACTGTGTGATTGGCCTTCCTAGGTGATGAAACATCACCTCCCTTTGTCCACACTGGACAACCAGCATCTGAGATGGTTTCAAGTGACACCGAGCCTGGCTGGGATGGGGTGCTTTAGGTGGGTGACTGGGGAGGTTCCCTCTGGCTTCACAGGTCTTGAGTCTCCATTTCACCCCAGGTTCCCTGAGGGCATGTCCTGCATTGCTGTGGGTACCCAGACATTGGTGGGGTCCACAGCTGGGTGGGTGGGTGGATCATTGTCATTCCCTGACAGGTGAGCAGTGGTAATGTGCTGGGGAAGAGGAGGAGAGCTCACTGTGGCCAGAGGGTTGGGAGGTGGGGAGGCGTTGGTGGGAGTGGGCAGGTGCCCCAGGGCTGTGCCCCAGGGCTACTTCTGGAACAGGGCAGTGCTAAGGCCAGAAGTGTTACCACTAGCGACCCCCTGTGCCCCCTCCCCTCTCATGCTCCTCAGAGCCTTGTCTCTTTCTCAGGGGAGGTGTTGTGGTGTGACGCAAAGCTGATGGTGTAAAACCTGAATTCTGAAAGCAGGGTTTGGGGGAGCTGGGGAATGGGTGTGGCACTCACATAGCACATTGATTTGTTAAAGAGTGACGCTGCATTATTGTCTCCGGTTCTTCATCCTTCCCTGTATCCAGGACTGGCCGTATAATTTGCAGGGCCCTGTGAAAAGTGGAAATGTGGGGCTCCTTGTCAGAATGTCATAACAAATTTTATGGAGATACCCGAGCTTTCAACCAAAAGTAAAGCCCTTCCGAGTGGGGGCCTATGAGCAGTGGCACAGGCCACGTGCCCCTGCAATCAGTCCTGCCTGTACCATGGCCTCTGCCATGTGATTCTGCATTTCCTCCTGCTAGAAGCAGGGTATGTGTCCCATCTCCACTGATGTCAGGCTCTGCCATGTGATGGGATCTGTCGCTTGACTATGGGCAGGCACATGTGTGTGTTCGGAGACCTTAAAGGTTAGCTTCTGGGTGTTCCTGCTCTTCCTCCTGCACTTCTGACATCATCAGGGCCAGCCCACTGGTTTAAGGAGTGTGAGAGGCATGGAATGCAGACCTGAGCCCACCTGGAGCGCAGAGTGACTCCCAAGAGAGGCATAGCAATTATAAATGATTGTTGCTTGGAGGCACTGAAAGTTTGAATTTGTTATGCAGCATTATTATGGCAACAGCTAACTGATACTGTAAACATGTGCCACTTTTATAAGGGAAAAAATCTTTTTTTTTAAAGTGGTTTATTCTGTCCCAGAAATCAGCCATTTGCTGACTGTACAAATTTATAAATAGACAGTTTCAAACTCTGTCCCAATTTCTTTGACCCAAGAGGAGGCCACTAAATGCATTTATATACCACAGCCCAGAGAAAGACCCACGTCACTTTGGATCACAATATTTGTCATGCACTAACTTCTTGGGAGAATGGGGAAGACGGTGTCTTTTCTCTCATTACTGCCACCAGGTATCGGCTTGATTTCCAGTCTTCTTAGCTGTTAATGTAGCTCTTCCCGCAGGGCTATGGAGAGAATGGTGTATTTTAATTGAGAGACAT